TCCCTTATGTATGAAAGCCAGCTGGGTGATTTTGGGCCAGTCACTCTCTCTCAGCCCACAGGGAAAATTGTTATTGTAGGAAAAATAGCAGGCTGGAGTATTAAGTATGTTAGCCACCTTCAGTTGGTCCAATATATATATACATATATACATATAGGCAGGATAAAAATCTAATAATAATAGTAATAGTTGTTGCATGAATGGCTAGCAGGTAGATTCACCAAGAGACATTTAGAGCATGCACCTCAAAGTGTGTTTCTGAATTCAAATCATTCCTAAGGAGAACACTAAATAAAAGAAAATTATATTGATTATCTTGCCATTGCAAAGATAGGTAAGAATCCCAACCAAGATTCCTTCATTGCATCCTCAAGAAGCCAATCAAAATAATGTTTTGACAGTGAAAAAGCCATTACATCTATACTACATGAGAAATCTTTTGAAACACTCAAAATTTGATGTGAGACATTGGTTAAGTCTTTTGGCAGTAAAATCAATTATATATCCTTCAATCTAGACATAAATGTTGTACAATTTCAATGGAAGTGTCCAGTGATCTGGTTTTATATAATTTATTTTGGTTATTTCAGCTTTAAGACACAGATAAAGTACTTACGGAACTATGCGAAATCATCTGTATGCTCACTTTGCTGGGTATTGACTGGACAGGTTCAAGATCTTATTAATGCCATGTTAAAAGAAGAAGGGACTTCGCTTCTTTGAAGCAATAACTGTGACAGCATTCCATCTCACTGAAATGGAAAACTGCAAGAACTATTGCCCAATTCTCAAATATCTCATTTTTTGCCAAGCTGTTGTACAGTTGCTGTTGGTTAAAACACTTAGGCCTATTTAAATCAGGCTTAGACTAAGAAATTGGGTGAGGAATTTTTTTGATCATCCTGTTGGACCTCAGTCTTGAGAGAGAAAGCAAAAGGAGATCCTAATTATTCATCTGTATCTCTTAGCAGCTTTTGATACCAGTGGTCATGGCATCTTAATGAATCTGCTTTCTGAATTGGGTTGATACAGTTGTTTCACCCTGCAAGTCAGTTTGTCTAAACATTCCCTACAGGTTCAACTGCAAAAGGTAGTATAGGGGGGACTTCTGTGGATCTCTTCACTTTTAAGTTACAGAGTTCTTTGATGCTCCATCCTCCCTCCATCCCTTATAATATCTATATAAATCTGCTAGACAAAGCCATACAAAGATTTGGAATTAAGTATCAAGTATACATTGATGATTTCTAATTCTCTTTTAATTGTTATCACTAGAGAACAAAGTGACCTTAGTAATCTAGAGACCTTTTTTCAAAACATTCAGCCCTTTCTAGACTGAGAGAGCTTGGTTATGTTGATCCAAGTTTCTGGCAATTTTATATGGGAGTCCTGTGATGTAACATGATGGGATTCCATATAAAAATTATTCAGAAGCTTCACCTTATTCAGAATGCAACTGCTATGATTATGATTAGTTTATTACCTAGTTCAGACCTGAGGCCCACAGATGTATACAGCCCACAAACCCCTTTTCCCCCCTGTCCCTAGAGGAACTTCCATTCACAACTGCCAAAATTATAGCATTAAGCAAGAGCCTTAACTAATTTTATGAAACAACCCTTAAAATCCAGCATAACTCAAGGGGGTGGGGGAACATAAACTATTTCTACTCTGCATCACTCTTACCCCACTAGAAATGTTTTATAGCCCCAGCTATCAAAATATGGTCGATTCTGTACATAAATAGAGCTATGCTACAATAATTCAATGTGCTGGTTATTTCATATGATTGTTGTGCAGAAAAATTAAAGGAGGGAATGTCAAGTACGAATGATGTTCCTAGAGCAAACTAAGATATATACTTAACACGCAATAAATAAATAAAAATATCTGAAGGAATATTTCCACATATATGTCCCTGCTCATGTCTTTGATCCTCTGTGATAGCCTTCTCTGAGAACAATCATTATGGTAGCTTCCAAACTTTGAAAAGTCCTCCTAAGGGAGATATAATAATTCTACATTTCAATGGCATCAAATTAAAACACAAGTTTAAATATCTTGGCATTCTGATATTTTATTAATAGAATCATAGAATAGAATGAGCCATTGAGTTCAACCCCATCTTGAGGAATCCAAATTAAAGCATCACTAACAGACTGCTGTCTAGCTTTCATTCAGCTTACTTCCAGGATGATAGAGAACAGGTCTATTCTTTTGTGTGATGTCCTTTCATATACTGTATTTAAAAAGTACTATCCAACTTGCCCCCATCCCTCCAATTCTTTCCTTAAGGATAAACATTCCTAGGTTTTTCAATCGTCCTTCATTGTTCTGGAAGTTATCTTCTCTTGCATACAACTTATGCAAAATTGTACTCATATTTCAGGCTTATGTGATACATCTTCATCACCAAAGATATCACAATGATGTGCATAAATATTACAAAATCAAATAATAGTAAAATCTAACTAAAATTGTCAGCTTTGGCAGCTGCGTGAACCTAGGATTCAGGAATTTCAGCAAATGCATTATTTTCAATTTAGCACAAATACATTTCCATATATATTAGGGAGGGTATGTTCTGCTTCTCTTTCTCACAGCCCTCATCCAATGGCAGACCTTTCCTCTCATATCAGGCAAGCTTGCAGCAGGCAGTTTACATAACAGCTTCTTGAAACTTTAATCATCTGGGAACCAGCTATTTCATATACAAAGTTCAATGGAGATTAAAATTGAATTCATGAAACTGAATGTCGTCAACAGTGAAATAAAGTTTCTAAATCACAAAAGTAATAGTTCTACTTTATACTGAGTTGGTAAAGTCCCAGCTCATGTGTTGTGTCAATGATGGACACCATACTGAGAAACATTCAGACAAACTGGAACAAGTTCTGAAAAAGAAAGTGAGGATGATCAAGGACTAGAAATGATGCTGTGCTGACCAATGTCCAATGCTCAGCTGGGCAGAGCTGAAGCAACTCTGCATATGAGAAACTCATACACAAGTGCACATATAAACTGGGCATAGCAGCATCTCAACAAATCAAACTCTTATCAATGAGAGCTGCTTGTATATACTGTA